TTTGCTCGTCTTGCGGAACACTCGCAAACCAAAGTTTGCTCACGTTACTCACAATCCAAAGTTTTACTGTATTTTATTTTTTATTTGGGGTCCACCTTTTCTCAGGAAGCGGCAACAATACTCATTATAAAGACGTACCTAAGAAATCTGTCAAACCGGTAATTGTATATGGGCCAGCGTGAAAATATTATTATTATGCACTTAATAAAACCCCATGTGTTTCCTGACTACTTTTCAATCCATTAATTAGTGATTCTGTACTTTCTTTATAGGTCATCACTGTAGTCAGTAATTGGAGGCTGGCTGACTTAAAACTTATTCAAATTATATGTCCCAAGCAGCCACAGAGATAGGCTGGGCACCTCAAGGCCCAAACTTGTTCACGTCCTCAACCAAAAGCATTGTTATTCTTTCCTGTGTGCATCTGTATTTTAGTTTTCTGATTACTCGAGTGGACAATTGTGGGAATATTGCTAAACAGGTCTGGCTTCATTCCACAAAGTGATCTTCTCCTGCTGGTTGAGCGTGTGTTCATCCCAGTGATGGGAGCTATGTTTCACCCATGAGGGGTCTCCGTCCCCGCACGTGGGCCCTGTGGACTCATGGTGCTTGTATATTCACCTCGTCTCTTGGACCTGACTCTGTGCTTTACTGGCTGGGCCCCCACAGCTATCAGAGCCTCGTCCCTCTGACACTGTTACGCTTATTTGTTTCTTCGTCTTTCCCTTCACCCAGCTGTGAGGCCCTGGAGGTCAGGAGCTGCCATTCCTTGTTTTCCTTAGATGCATAGGGTTTTCTTTAGAGGTTGACACATTGTTGATCAGGGGACACAAATGGACCCCTGCATTATCTGGCCAGCGCAGTGTTATCAATGATTGGAATGAATGCCTTCACGTGGGCATGCCCACTGCAGTTTGTGACAGTCTCTATTTTCTTGTGTGTTGGCCACAGTCACACATTAATTTCGCCAGCCTGGCCCCTGTAGGCATCCTCGTTTGTGGCCCTAGCTGTAGCTGCTTCATATATGTTAGTTACGTGACTCAGTGTGTCTTATTGCATGGAGAATTGGTTATAATCCTAATAGTCTGGTCTTGAAAATTCCCTTAGTTTCATCTCAGACGTAGGAAAATAAAGTAGAAAAATATAACTGTTACACAATGTACAAAAAAGCATTTTCTGAAGGCTGGACAGAGGTGGGCCACTCTGAGCATCCCTGTAGTCAAATTAGAGGGGAAAACAAATTCACTTGTGTTATTTGTAGAACCCAGAGGACGCAAACAAACCAGTTGCCATGGGAAGGCCTAGACTTGCATGCCTGAGATGATTTAAAACTCCTGCCTTGGATCATCTTAAAACAGGCACCAGAAGTTTAAAAGCAATGACCCTGACCAACATTCCAAGTTTACGTTCAACAGCCCGTTTCCAAGGCTAAGCCAACGATGCCCATCAGGATGGCCAATGGTGAGTGTGATCCAGCAACGGTGAATCTAGTGGGGCCACAGCAGTGCAGTGCAGTGCAGTGCAGTGCAGTAGAAACACTCCCTGCTCCGGTTTAACCTGGGGGAAGGTTTAAGCAATGTTAATGGGTGTAATTTACATCACCAGACAGGACATTGTTGGTGACGAGGGAAGACCCTTGAGCAAGGTTAAACTTCGCCTACAAAAGTAAATTTGGGTTTGCTTTAGCTAGCTAAGGAATGAGGGACTGTGTCTCTTAAGAATTACCCTCCATGGGCCGGCCGAGTGGCGCGTTGGTTAAGAGCTGCCTTGGGATGCCAGAGGGCCCCGGTTCGGATCCCACATATGAGGGCCACTGACACTTCCCTCTACAGCTAAGATGCTGAACAACAGCTCAACCTGGAGCTGGGCTGCCGTGAGTCTCCAGCAGTGGCAGGTGGGTTGCCATGGGCTACCATGTGTAGCCAGCAGCCAGCGTGAGCGGCCAGCAGCCGCTGTGAGCGGAAATCCAGAAGCTGGCGACGGATCTGCCTCGCCGAGAAAGAGCACAATGATGGTGCCAACTTGGGCCAGTGAAGCAACGTCCTCCACAACTAGACTGAAGAACAAAAGGACAGCAACTTGTCTGTTCCCCTTCCCCCAATTCCCCATAAAAATCTTTGAAAAAAAAAAAAAAAGAATTACCCTCCATGTCTCTAATGATTTTAACTTTTTTAAAGCAACTCTTTCCTGGCCGTGGAATTATAGCTATAATAGCTGTTAAAGTGTAACTTTGAGCAGCTTACTACCTGTGAACATTTCCAGCTAATTAGCTTATGTTCAATACATATCTGGGTCTCTTGCTATATAGGATTATTATTCATAAGACAATAACATGCTGGTGTTAGTTTCCAAAGAAAGGCTTTATAATAAGTCTTCTGTCTGAGTATTTAGAAAGTAAGACTCACTTTTTGTTAGGACCACCTCTTTGTTTGAGAAACAGAAACTCTACCAACCATTTGTAGGAAAACCCAGAGCTATTAATAGTAAGTTAAATGGCAGTTTGATCTCGAGTGAGTCATTAAGTTTGGTCTCTCCATACCTGCCACTACAAAAATGGGGGATGTGGGGCCGGCCGAGTGGCTCAGTTGGTTAAGAGCTCGCTCAAGAGTGTGAGCTCTGAGCAACAAGGTCGCTGGTTTGATTCCCGGCTCGAGCTGAGCTGCCAACAGGTGGCAGGATGGCTCAGCTAATAAATAAATAAATAAATAAATAAATAAATAAATAAATAAATAGGGGGATGTGCTTTCTAGAATCTGCCACGACAATTATACAATAGGAAAAAAATATGAGTAAATATAATAACAAAACTAACCATAAAAGGAATGCCTTTCTCTCAATGCCATGAACAATGCTCATATGCTTCCTTATGACACGCACTAAACATCTGCCGTTCGGATAATGGGCTAACTGTTGCCTGAACCATTATAGCGGTTTCGTACCCTGGTAGGTCTAGTTTTAGGTGTTTCTATCTCAGTCATTTTTCAGTGTCAGCTTTTAGTGGTCCAGAAATGACAGGATGCACCAATGAAGGAAAATGTGAGGGCTGCTGGGTGCCGAGCCCTCACGTCACTGTGAGCAGATCTCAGAAACCGTTCTCTGGGGCATTTGAGGGCCTTGTTCTCTATGATTCGCCTTGAGTTCTCTGCTTAGAGCTGGACTGGATTGATTTCATGGCCAGCTCTGCTGGGATGACAGGCAGCCCTGTCCTGGTTCCCTTGGAGTAGGGAAAGAGTTGGAGCTCTCGCTCATATGTATGTACAGACAGGGTCTTCTCTGGTTTAGGGAAGCCTCCTTTACCCCCATGGGCAGAGATCCTAGGTGACTACAGCCATTGTAACTCGTCCTGTTGAAATCGCCCTGGTTCATTCAAACAGGCCCAGTGACATTGCTGACATACTTTCACTGGAGTGTTTCCAAATGTGCGACAGGCAGCATTGCCTGTGACAGCAAAGGAGCACATTGGACCTGCTGAAGGCACACGTGCCACTTAACACTGAGGAGAGCAGGTGAGATTGTTAGATTGCCATGCGATCATGCATATGTTGTTTAAGACTTAAAAGCAGTCCTATCCGGTAGGACTCCAATACAAGCGTGGAGAGGGAGAAGTCGCCACTTCAATCACCACATTGACAGTGGAGTTGTTTCTTCAGAGATCAACTATCTCGTTCTTCATGTGACTTCAGAAGGCAAGACAGAGAAGACCACCTATTATACGTGCAGGAGGTTTTATTTTTTGAAAAAGTAACAATTAATGAGATCACTGGCAGTGCCCATACGACTTGGCTCAAAACCTGTTTAAATCAAGAAATTCAGTGTAACAACAGCATATTGGACAGTTATCAGCCACGTATGAGTTCAACTGCCACTGCTTTAAGTGGTTTTGTAGTCAAATTAAACTGGTTAAAGCAACAGCATGATTCCACTATTCCTTGGCTAGAACATATTTGAAAGAGGCAGGTAACATGTTTGGACAATTGGAAAAAAAAACAAAACTCAAGGACGCTAGACAAAGGAGTGTATTGTGAGGGGGAGGAGGTACGACCTTAGATTTCTGTATCTTTAGAAGTTTCACTGTCTGTAATGCTTCATGATTTAAAAATGCTGTTAGTCAATTTGAACTTGCGGTCTGGCTACAGGAACCACATTACAGGAACTGCACTGCGGCAGGAGTTAGAGGGAAAAAGCTTTTTCTTTTGTGGGTTCACTTACTATTTTAATTCAGCTCTTAGTCAGCTTTGAAGGTATGGTTGCTGTTTCTCCTTACTACTCTCTCTCTCGTCTTCCTTTTAGGCTTCATTTCCCCCAGTCACCTCTGCTCTCTAAGGTAGTGATGTCACACAGCGAAAAAAGCCTAGATTTGTCATCGGCCTTGTCATTTGCTCTGACTCTGCTACTAACTTGATTCATGTTTCTGAGGCTTACTTTCCGCATCTTAGATCAGGGATATTATGAAGTGTCCCACAAATTTCTGAAGGTTAAATATGATCACGTCTTGTATGCCACGCGCACATGTGGCATGCATGGTTTTCTTGGGTTGCCTGGCCAGAGCCAAGGTGGTGAAAATGGAGGCTGCCCTCTAACCATGGCTCCTTTAGGGGCCTACAGGAGCAAGGTGCACTTGTCTGAGGATCAATGAAGACACGTTATTAAGCAACTTTAAAGTTGGCAAGCCACCCGTGACCTCTTTCCTGACTTTGAACTGAAGCGCCAGTGACCCTAACTCCCCTAGTCACTGCCAGATGTTGGGGACATGTCTCCCTTTTCCCGTGAGCCAACCCAGACGCATGAGCTGCAAGCGGTCTCTTCCTCTTGGCCCAGCAAAGTGCCCAGAAACGAGCTGGCGGCGCCTTCACGCAACAGCAGGAGCTGAGGACTGCCGCGCTCCCGCTGGGGTCGGCGACTCCAAAGTGACGCTACCGCCTCCTCCCCTTGAAGGCGGGGCTGGCGTGTGAGGGTGAGGAAGTTGTAGGTGATGCCCCCGCCCTCGCTGCGTCTGAGCTGCTCCCTGAGCGGGGGATTGCCAGGGCAGGTCCTGCGCGCTTGAGGTTCGTGCGTCAGCCCCTTCTGCAGCCCCCGGGACTCAGCCTCGGACAGGTGAGGGAGGTGCTGGGCTCACCTGGCGGTGCGCGCGGGCGGACACCAGGGTCTCCACCTGCTCTCTTCTGCGGGTGGGTGTCTGTTCTCAACCGAAGTGGGGAGCTGGGGACTCTGAGGTACCAGGGAAGCTAGTACCTGGGGTCAGAAAAGTGTGCTGAAGACCAGGCAGGAGCCCAGGCTTGGGCTGGTGAAGAGCTCAGGGTTGGGGGCCGGGCAGAGTGTGGGGGAACGTTCCCGGGACTTCTTTGCCATTTGATAGGACACAAATTGGGTCTCCTAGGGACACAGTGGAGTTAGTCACCGTCAGCACCGCCGCGGGGACTCTGCAGAGGTAAGTCCCTCACTTGGGTGGGATTTGATGCACTCACTTTGTGGAGATCCAGAAAGTCCACTTTGGTTCCCTGCGCAGACAGTTGCTCTGCCTCACGAGAGCACAAAGCCTTATAATTGTGTAGGTCCCAGAGTATCTCGTCACACTAAAAAAAAAAAAAAAAGGTGATGGTGGTGGCGGTGAAGTTGAGAGGAAATTGCTTCCGCAATTAGTTCCCCCCAGCTCACTGTCCATTTGTTAAGCAAATGGTGTGTGCTGATGGTTTTTAAAAATGGTCGTGTTTCTATAAACTGTGTTAGACCATCCTAAGGACCTTCTTTCTGGGCGATGTCTGACGGTTTCAGCTGCGTCCAGATGTTGCGGTGAGTGTGCTCCAGAGGTGACAACTGGCAGAGGGCACTCAACAGTTACCAAACAGCTTCCCAGGGAAACTTGGGACATTAGACAACCTGCTTCAGTAACATACGGAATCGCAAACAGGTCCGTGGGTTATGATTTCCATTAGCACTCATTTTGTGCTTGTGTTAGCAGCCTTTCAATATAACAAATATTTGTTGTCCGCCTGTTAAGGAGGGACCTCTGTGAGAGCCAGGCTGGTGTGCTGTTTCATAGCACAGGTGTTGACACAAAGGAGAATTTTAGGGCACTGGTTCCGCACTGGGTGGGGGTTGTTTAGAGAGAGACAAGTGGCACATTGTGCTTTTGCTTCCTCACCCCCTCTTTCATCTCTGGTAATAAGCATATAGGTGCAGGGACAATGTAAACCTATGAAGAATACCTGTCATTAGCCTGGTCTGTCCTCCAAAGTGACAAGGCTGATTGAAACTATCCTTAGAATAAGATCATTAAGAATCAACACTTTGCCAAGCGCCGTGCTGGGCACTTGATCTTGTTGCATAAAATACACAGAGTAGGTATATCTCCCCCTGTCCAGATGGGAAACTGAGGCAGGGAGGAATCCAGAAATGAGTTCAAGGGAGGTGGTGGACCTGGGAACTGAGTGGGAATCCTTTTGAGTGCAGAACCCATGCGTTTTCACTATTCTGTGTTGCTGTGAGACAGAGAGTATGAATCTGGGAGATTTAATGGAAACAAGAATGTAAATTTATGTTTATGAAACAACCCATATCCTGGGAGTCAGACTAACCATCATGAGTAAAATGAGCACTGCTTTCATTCAACTTGTGTGGTTAAACTACGACCAATCTGGAACAAGAGAATGAACAGCTGTTTTCAAAATGCAACATGTATTATATGTCTTCCTGAACGTATTTTTAAGGACCTAATATATTCAAGTGGGACAAAATGAGTAAAAGTGTACCTGTATTCCTCTATTGCATATTGAAGTAACAGCATTTTTTTTTATTAGTGTGCTTTAACATATTTCAGCTTGATTTCTTTTCGTAGCTTCCAGGTAAATAGAAGTCACTATTGTTACCTAGAAAGGACTTTGTGTTCGTGTCTAAATCTATACTCATACATGAATGAATACAGCTAATATTTATTTTAAAAGATATATCTTTTTTTTTTCCTCAGTCTGTCTCTGGAAGTGTAGAGGACTGCAATGTGTTATTTGGGCAGGAATCCTAAAATTCCTAATTTTAGCCTTTGAGTAAATGAACCATAACAACTCAACTGACAGTTTCTGAAAGTGCGTGTAAAACCACAACAGTGATTTTCAAATTAAAATGACTACACTGTATAGAATGAGGATGAAAATAGTGCTTAGATTTTTAAATAGTATTTCTTGATATAGCGAGCACTTGCTTTCTTAAAACTTTCCTTATCATTATTGGTAATGATACATAAAAAATTGAGGGGTGCTGTATTTAATTTAGATTAAGGTGTTGAAGAAAGTATTTTTGTGTTGAAGAAAGTCTTTTAATGCCTGTGTTGGGAGAATCAGGTAGGATTTTCTGCCTGAATCTTGCTTTTGGGAGTGAAATTAACAACACCCTTTGAACTTTAGAAGCATTTGAAATCCTGCCTAGAAGGTGTTTATAAAAGTGTGCTTGGCTTGGTTCAGATGCTGTCATGGGAGGGCAGGGTGGGTAATGAACTGGAGAAATTCCCAGAAAAGCCAGAGGGCCAAGGAGCAGAGTATATAGGGAGGGTGATTTTGTAAGTCTTAAAAGGTGGACATTTTGGGAACCCTCTTTCAGAAAAAAATAATATAAAATTAGTTATGAAGGTGAATACTTATTTAGAATGCGAAAAAGAAATTAGAGCAATTTATTGGCGCATCCTGCGTCTGCTGGGATCCCTTTGGGCAATTTACCAGAAATGCTTACAAAGAAATGCTTCCTGATTGCAGCCTGGCTTCCCCTCGCATGAGAACACTCAGCGTCTTCCAGTAGCTTGTGGCACCGGTGAGGCCTATGGCAGTGAGTGGCTGAAGGCTGAAGCCCCATGACCCTCAAAAAATGGGAGGACAGGTTGTGGTTGGAGGCCAGGGACTCATGCATGGTCCATGGTGCAGAGAAGAGACCAATGGCTGGGGTGGGAGGGGTCTACAGCTCATGGGGGACTGGGACATTTCTTGTCCAGCAAACTGGTTCTGAGATGAAGGCCCCTGAACTGGTCTCCAAGACCTTCCAGTTTGGTTGTTTCTCCCGAGGTGCCTTTGGCCATTGGCTCTTCCAGCTTTCATTCTATTCGTCACCATTTATGGAGGGCTTTCTACGTCCCACGCACTGAGAAAGGATTTCTTTGATGACAGCCCAGTGTGGTAGCTACTGGCCTGGAGGCCTGGAGGGCTCCTGTGCTTGAGCTGAGTTTGAAGTTGCTGGTGGAGGGACTGAAGTTGGAGGGGTCCGGAAAGGGTGTTCTGGATATTTGGGGGCCATAGAAAGCCCTGCAGATTGAGACCCCCACGCCCCCTCTACAGATGTAGGGAAGCCCCTTTGCCAGTGTTTCTCATCACCTTCTTCCAGACCAGCAGGACCCACACACCAGAGGTTCACCTGTCAGAAACCTATGTTCTCAGGCCCTACCCCAGGCCCCTGAATCAGAAGCTCTGTGTCTGAAACACAGCCACCTGTATTGTAAGAAGCCTTCCAGAGGATCCTGGAGCTAAAGTTTGAGAACTGTTGCTCTTCATATTTAAGAGAACTGGTAGGGTATAGAATCACCAGTAGAGAGGGAGGGAAGGGAACAAGATTAATACCAGGGCTAATAGATCATGACTGTAATTTATGTTACTATCACTGATACTCATCAAGTGCTCAGCATGCCAGGTGTTGTGCTAAGAATTATTAACTCTTTTTTTTAAAGATTTTTATTGGGGAATTGGGGGGAAGGGGAACAGGCAAGTTGCTGTCCTTTTGTTCTTCAGTCTAGTTGTGGAGGACGTTGCTTCACTGGCCCAAGTTGGCACCATCATTGCG